CAACCCAAAATTACCGGCGTTTTTAAAAAAAACTTAACTTTTCATTTTTTTTTTTTTAAATTCCTCTTTTTTCTTTTTTTGTACTGTTTGACCAATATATTTGGCTTCGCAGTCGTGGCAATTTAGAGAATAGACTATTATACTGGATATATTAATATACTGGAAATAGAAATGGATAGTATATGAGTAGTACGTTCCTTGAAGAGATCTTCATAAAACAATGGTCAGAGTTGCAGTGTGGTTTAAATTATCAGAATAAATAAATGATTTTAAATTAAAAAATATCAATTTGACATTTGTAATGAAATAAATTTATGTTAAAATAATGGTATCTAGCAAAATTGTACGTAACTAAATCGTATATTAAGATGCCAAGTACACGTAAGTTAATTTTTCACCTCAAAATAGTATTGAATTAGGTCATTAAAAAGACTTGTTTCGATTTTAAAAAATGTATGCACTGTGTACTTTTAATTTCAAAGGAACCAGCAAATATGATCTTTGACTCGAACGAACGCGCAACGAAATCTTGACAACGATTAAGATTCCTCGTAACGTTCCTAGCGTTGCCTAATGACGGCAAAGTTTTCCAAAACATTGATACAACGACATTTCGATATATCCTACCACCACCCAAAAGTTTTTGATGTCGACGGAACCGACAGAAAACATGAATGTTGTAAACATGGGGAAAGATACCATGGTTTTAATTATGATAAAACAGATGGTATATTCCCATCCTGTTTCTACATTTCATTATAGTACTTAAACGAGATATATTGTTTGCGTGGTCACATACAAGTAATAATGTGTTAATAATGATGTTTTTGAAATGCAGAGAAGGAAATAAAAACTAAGGACATTGATTTCTGCTATTTTTTTATTTATTCACTTTCATTCACAAATCTTCAAAGCACTTCGTCATGGATCTAATGTAATATATAATATTGTAGTTACGATTAGTTTTAAATATATTCTGTCTTAGATTTGATGGTCATCTTAATTTTCTAATCAATATTCTATAGAAAGAAGGTGCAAAATGCAGTTCATAGATATTTCCATGTACAAAATCATCAAAAAAGACTAGTGCTGCAACAACCAGGGGCGGTTCCAGCTTATATTTTTTTGAAGGGGCCCTCCCTCCATTATATCATAGATTTTTGTTAAATAATAAACATTTATTATTATATTTCATATTATTTTAATGTGCATGTATGATACTATAAAATATTATTTGTAAATAATTACAACATTTTAACTTAAATGTTTAAATCAATTTAGCCAAATAAAGGAAGGTAACAAACGAAAACTCTAGTCCTTTTGTGTGTGTATGTGGGAGGGGGGGTTCATGGTCCCCACTCAACAACACATACTTTCTCGCATTGTTTCTAAAATTTCAATATTCGAAAATTCAGTGTGTTCAATGACAAGGAGACCTGCGCCATTTTTGAAGCTCTTTTTATTTCACCATTGGGACAAAAATTAAAAAATTGGAGGTGTTGAGAAATGTTTATTATAAATTGCATTACTTTCAAGCACAAATTACGCGTAAACTACTCATTTTTTCCAAAAATTATACATGATATTTTTAGAAAACTGATTTTTAGAACAGATTTTGAGGCAAAAATCTCTATTTTCAATTTTGTAGTAACATTTTACAATTTTCGAAAATACAAAGTCCGCTAGAAATAATTCTAGCATCACGTTTTTTACCATCCTTTGATACATCGAAATTTTATACATGAATTTATTTTAAGAGGGGAAAAAATCTCGTAGTTGAAGGAAGACGTCGACAAAAATTGAACTTTTGTATTTTTTGGAAAACGATGAGTTTTAACGAAAATGAAACTTCAGTCATTCTATTAAGTTCCACTACGCTATCCGAGGACAAAGTTTAATGAAAAAAATTTGGAGCCATTTAAAAGAAAATTGAAAATGTGATTGAGGCTTCATGTAAAGTACCTTCCATATCAAAATATCCATTTCAAACTCGGAGGGCCTCTAGTTCCTTTAAACTGATTGGGACTATCAATTTTGGAGAAAATCGGCTGAACAGTTTTTGCGCTCAATTATAAATCTCTCTTACGAAGTAAGTCTGAGAAATTATTAAACTTATGATTAAATCCAGTAGTGTTACAGAATGGCTCAGACTTTCTCGTACTAGTTTATTTCCTTGTTTTTAGTCTGAGCTCTCTTTTCGGTTTTGACCCACCGTCCTGTAAATATGGAAATATCGAAAATGTAAATATGTAAATATTGACATTGTTACAGAGTTGGGCAAAATACTTGAAAAATGTATTTCAGATACAAAATACTTCGTGGAAAGTATTTTAGATACCGATTACAAAAAACTACCAAAAAAGCAATTTAGATACAAAATATTATTTTAAAATGCTTTTGAAACTAGAAAATACCACCAATTGTGTTCAAGTTTTATTATTTATTTCTCAAACTTTGTGCTTTACAATTGCGTACAGTTGGACACGTTTCCCTTCAAATCTATTAGTTTCAAACATTGTATAACTAATATTTCTTTTTGTAATTGATAACGGTCCCATTCCATTGACATTTAATGCTGTAACAAGATCCAACATTATTTGATCGTTTCCTTTTCCTGCGTGTTGAAGAAACAGGATGTTAAGGTTGTTTGTTTAAACATTTTCACATTAGTATCACTATTTTCTGTGATATTCATTTTCCTGCTATGTGAATTTGATTTTCTGAATCACTCATTTGTACAATTACCAAATTCACTCATCACACCAGGATGAATTCCTCTAAAATGTGTAAAGAAATTATCAGTTCCCTAGTAAAAAGAATGACAAGTGAAATTCACAGACTATTGAACACCATGGTGTACATTGTAAAATTTATAATATTACTGCTTATTATTTTTTGCTTTAAGTGTTTCTTAAAATGTATAGTCGCACTTTAGGAACCACTTATTATTGTCTGTTTGGCGGGCTTACAAATTTCACATAACAGTGAAATAGTTCCATTTAGAATAGCACATTTTGATGATTTATCAGTTTCCACATTCAAATCTTAAAATTACCTCGTAATTACGGCGCAAGCACAAGCTTTTAGACAGGTGGTGATGTGTAATGTGACAATATAATATATAAAAAAATCGTGTTATCGACGTTTGTATTTTCCAACTTTGATTGTATATTGAAATTTACAATTCCATCAGTGGATTAATGAAAAGTATTTTTGTATTTTGAAAATACAAAATACTATCAGAAAGTAGTTTCGGTAGAAAAACAAAATACATGTTCAAATATGTATTTTCGATACAAAGTACAAATTACAAATGTATCGAAAATACGTATATTAAATACAAGTATTTTCGATACTGCCCAACTATGCGTTATAATAAATGTCCGTAATGTAAAAATTGACAAGATGAGAGGTATTAAAAAAACACTTTTGTTTTGTTTTGAAAAACATCAACAAAAGAATATCTCAAAGTGGCATTGTTTCAATTTAGCACTATCCGTACAATAATTAGGAGGATTTTTTCCCCCAAAAATGCGCAATTTTGGATTAATTTTACAGAAATCTTATGAGTTTTCGGAAAACTTTATAAGTAATAATTATAATATTATACAAGACACAATACATTTTTGTTAAATAGTAAACATATTTGTATACATAATTTTCGTGGTATATGATACCATACATCTCTAGGCCTTTTTGGGGGTGCCTCTCAGGAAGGGGGACATGGCGGGTACGAAACTGACTACATATTTCCATGTTCTTTATTTTCATTTTTAAGTATTATTAAATCATTTATCTAAAAAGTGAATAATTCACTCATAATATGGTGAACATCTGGCAACCCAACACTAATTTTAATTGTGTAGAAAACATAGGTTGGGGTTTACAACTGCAAGATTATCTTTTTGACAAGTCAGATGTAACTTGTTGTAAGTAAAATTTTATTTTCAACAATTCGTTTTGCGGCTGTCCGGGTGACGCCGCGTCGTTGGCCTCTCAGCCAATTCGTTTCGTCTTCATCTCCTCCCATCGAAAGTTAAGGTATCTAAAGCAGATGCTGAAAAAAAAATATTGTTTTCGTCAATCGTTTACTTTTTACACGAAACATAATAAATATGTTGTTAACGTTACAATAAAGTGGGACTTCCTGAACAAAACTCCAAAAATACACAAAAAGAAATATCCTTATCCTCCCCCTCCCCCCAAAAAATTACCTCTGAGAAATAAACCTCATAATTAAAACCCCTAGCCTGACAACACTGGAGAAAGAATGCGAATTGTAAAGGTTTCGTGCCATGTGAAGATCGACAACAGTGACAGATGTCAGTGGCTGTTGATTTTGAGAAATCCACAAAAAATTAGACACTGAAAATTTTATTTATATTATGATAATTGTTTTAAAACGTTGGTGTTTCTGGTGGAAAATGTTTTAGAAATATCAATTTTTTTTACCATAAGTGCAAAACATCTCTAAAACCATGTACCATTGCACTTCAAAATTTGGATATATGGATTTTCCTTGGTATTGTTCCAGCTAACGCAATTTCATGTGAATCCGAGTATCCAAAGATATGAAGATATGATTTTTATTGTTGTTGTAGATGATCTCCCTCCCCGAACTGTATTGCAGTTTCGTGAACCTGGTACAAAAAAGTGAATGCATATTTTTGTATGTGCTACAAATAGTAATTGCTTCCAAATTTGGCACGAATACGTTTGAGGGTCGAATAATGAAAACTAGCGAGGTTGCGATTCAAAACAGTTACCCCGAAATGTTTTTAATTTTCAGTTAAATGCAGTCCCTAATCCATCTGGGCTCCATTGTTGCCGCGGAGCGGTGGCGAGCAGGAGCGGGTGGTGGCGCCAGAGCTGGTGGAAAGGGAGGAGGAGCTGCAAAGGGCACGGTCGAAACAGACTAACTTTAAGCGAAGAGGAGCGAAAGAAGAAAGATAGGTGCATCGGACGGAAGTGGAGCGAAAGAGCTACGCCAAACGGAAGGAATGGGCATGGGGGTAAGTCGGAGAAATCGGGAGACGAGCGGGAGGAACAGATAGAGTCGAAGGACCTGGATAGGCGGAGCGGGAGGTGTTGGTAGGACGGTCGTAGCAAAGAGGAGAGAAGAAAGAATAAACCCTTTCTCCAGGATCATGGCCAGAGTAGCCCGGCATGGCGTGTTGGCCGGATGTGGCATTATGAGTGAGAGGAACACCAGAGCGGAATTTGCCGGATGGCCATGGCATGCGGGAGAAATAGGACGAAGCATGATAAGTGCGAGGGAAAAAGAGAGCAGAAGGAACTGAATCGGAAGAGCGAGCTTTGTAGGCAAGACGGCCATGACAGGCCAGATAGGTTATGCAGTGGTAACGGGAGAAGCGTGCGGGGCGGGCGAGGCGGGCGAGGTTGCTGTAAGAAATAAATGTCCGGGCAAACAGGGTACTATGTTATCAACTATCCTACTTCATTCTCAACTATGCGAACAGGTGCACAAAAGAGCAATGAAAAAAATGAATTATTAATTAACATAAATAGTATTCCCTCTTAAATTTACTCTCAAATTGTGGACTGTTTGTTTCCACAACATTATTCCCGTTCAAGTTCGAGTTTTGACAACCCCTGCGATCCAAGACTGACTTTCAAGACAGTTCTCGGTGTTTGCTGAAAATTATCAACCGCCTGAATACTTTCAAATCGGCAGCGAAACCTAAGCAGACGTGCCTGGACTGTATTTCCCCTTATTTAAAATATAGTTTTTAATTCTTTTTTTAATATTAATAAATAGAAATAAATCGCCGTGAAAGATTTCCCCAAAAATTTGTCCTTCATATTTTGGCTCAACTTTCCTTCAATAATTTAGGGGAATAACAATGAACCTAATTCAAAAAAATGCAATTTAAATTAAGGAAACTCAAGATAATATGCACGGATAGCAGTTCTTCCCGTATTAGTACCTCCAATACATTTTTATCTGTTCTTTGACGTCAATTAAATAAATAATAAAGAACTTGTTTACTCCACTCTTATTTTATAACAATTATTATCAACATATCTCCTTTGATAGCTTTTAGTAACTTTGACTCTATAACCAATTATGGCTATGGTATTACCTGCATTTATTTCAACGGCCAGAGAAAACAACACGTTTAATTAAAGTAATGATTTTTCGTGTTGTAACCAATGTGTTACAAGTCGTGAACAATACAACGTAGAAATTTCTGTAATTATAATTAAATAGTATCGTGCATCGTGCGTAAATAGTAATATGCACGTAATACTAAAGAGACGGAAGGTGTCTGCGAGTTCAAAGTGGCAGTTTGTATAAACGTTGAACTAATCACCTAGACTTGTATTTTTTGAATTAACTTGCACAAGGAATCTTCATAGTTTTTCTGTAGAGTAAGGGCAGTAGAATTTTCATTAAGATCGCAGATGTGCTACTGTACATGATTAAAGTTTTTCTACTAAATGGCATTACATTATTTAGACGGTGAATGCGCGAGGAGAGAATTTTGCTTAGAGATGTTTTTCAACTATTAGTTTATTCAAGAACATGGTTGCGAAGAGATGCTAGTGTACTACAGGACACACGATCTGAGCTTCTTACCACCTGACTTCGCGGATGCCACTACCAGTAACAAGAAGTGTTTTCAATTGGCATACAACACGTGTACGATCATAAGCGTTTGGCATTACATAAATGTTAAGAAATTGCAGTAAGTTTTGCACTGTATTTCAGTACTACTTTCACGCGAGTAAGAACTCGCTTAGCAATTCAACTTCACCTCTGAAATGACAGTCTAAGTAGTCGATAATTATAAAATGGGTGCAATTAAAATTATATATGTTTTGTAAAATCTATTATTATCAATATGCTTGTGAACGAAGAGCTGATAGAATTATCTGACAAACTTTTGGCGCCATTTCTATTTGGTCTTCCATGAAATGAGAAACAGACTTCTTGATTAACAAAATATTTTATGACTTAATGTAAATAAGAACTTACAATGTTTAGCTGATTTATTTCTTTTTAATAATTCATTGTTAATGTATTTCTTAGAACGAAATTGTTATTTAGACATTTCTTAATTTTCAAATATTTATTTTTGGAATGTTGGCTGCAGGTCTTTCAGAACGCACTTCCGCGAGTTGCAACCTGGTCGCGGCAGAATTGGCAGAATCCTTGTGGCCGGTAGTGGTGTTGATCGGTGGTGTGTGCGCTCATGCCTGTAGACTAAGTATTTTGAAGTTTTCTAGTCTTCCCACGTGTGTCAGCCAAAATCTTTTAAGGTGATGTGTCATTTGCGTTTTATGTAGGGTTGTTTTAAATGTCAACATGAATTAGGAATGAGGGAATTTTCATATTATTGGATTCCTTACCAGGTCTTTGAAACCTACTACATTGACATGTTGCATGCACTTCTTTGTCACGTAAAGAATTCGACAGGAGTATCTATCGTAAGACTGATTTCCACCTTGCTTGGGACACTATTGTATACTAGCCGGAAACATACTGCAATGAAAAATGGAAAAGTCTCCTCATAATTTTCTTCTTATGGCCCATTGGTTTTCTCGTAACACGATGGTGAAATTAATTTGTCAACTTAAAGGAGTTCATTTCAAATTCCGGACTGAAAATTGTTTATGTAATTTACAAATTTCATATTTGTTTTAATACTTTTGTCGTTGGCATTAACTGACAGAGCATTTCATATGAGTCCTCTTAAATTTTAATAAGGTAAAAACTATGTAAATTTTCAAAAGTTATCAATTTTTGGAGAATTTTGATTTTGAGTTTACTTTTTCCTGAATAATTTGATTTTGTGATGAACTTGTCAGTATAGTCGTGCTTTTTAATAAAGTGCATTATGTGTTCTGTTTCAGATGGGTAGTGAAGTTTGGGATGATGATGATTATTCCTCAACTGTAGTGGCGCAGGTAATTCATTCTTGTTGTATTAATTTAATAGGAATTTTAATGTTGAGTTAGAAGCAGATAACTGTTTTTAGCAATTATTTTACTGTGGTAGTTTATGTTAAAAATTTATCCTCAAATTCTCGGACAGTACAAAACTTCACCTGCAAAATTGAATGTATTCTGGATATAAAACAGTTCAAATGACACACATTATTGCAAACTTTAACCAATAATAATAATAATAATAATAATAATTCATTCTACTCCATGTGCAAAATATTTGTTTGAAAAAATCATTCAATAATTTTAATTTTTTTTACAGTTATCTTCCATTTTAATAAATTTTTATTTTTTACAATGTTTTTTCTCAGTACCAAATTCATTACTGATTTTTTTTTTAATAATAATCAGTCCTCATTGATTTTCTTCTAAATTTGTTCTAGAAGCCCTTGTTGAAAAGACAAGAGTTTACGTTATTTGAAATTGCCAGAACTTTCAAAATTGCATCTTCTGGTTAAATAAACACCGGGAGATTTATAATTGTATTTCAACTTTTATATTCATATTTTGGGTTACGACCAGTGTAGAAAGTCCTGTGGCTTTTCACTATTGAATTGTGTAAATGTGTGCGTGTACTTTGAATTTAAAGCAACCCCATTTTCTTGTCTAGCATTTGGAACTTCAGTGAATATTAAACTTAACTCAAGAAATCATAGGGAAAATATTGAAATTTTAGAAGTAAATTGAGCTAATTTGGGGCATTTTTATTTGGAGGAATATTTGCACACCTTGAAATTTACTTCAGCTTTCTTGAACTATTTTTAATGTCATTAATTATTTCTTTCAAAGGTAATGTTCTGGTAATTACAAAGTGTAATTTCATCAAATTTAAAGAAAAGGACATTCTGAATTTTCTGATCAAATTGTTCCAGGGACATTTCTACATTTCTAAAGGAGGGATTTTTTTCATCTTAAACAAAAGTAATTTAAAAGTATTATCAAAGAACATTAAAGGCTGGGTATGGAGGTGAAGTGAAATTTATAAATGGATGTGAAGGAGAAAAATAGTGAAGTGTTTGCATTAATGTGCATTTTGTTTTAGATTTTAGTAGCACTGCCATAAGAAAATAATTAAGTTAATGATTGTGTGTGTGCGTGTGTCTAATATAGTATACTATTATATATATAGTAATTATATATATATATATCTATATATATATATAATAGTATATATATTATATATATATATTATATCATAATCATTCTGTTCAATTACTAGATCTTAAGTGCCAACCCAGCATTATTTAGTTGTGTGGATTTAGAAAGTTGATGAATATACATTATTGTTTGAAAATAGTGTTTCTGGACAAATTCGCATGGTATTTAATTTGAACGGGTGAAATCCAAAACTTTGTAAGTGACAATCTATAAATTCTTGGAGAACTGTTTATTTAATTCAAAATTACTTTAAAATCACTGTGCATTATTTCATCATTAAAACCACATCATTTTATTTGTTCATTAAAACCACAAAATTACATTGCAACTGAAATACATAAAATTAACAAATTTTTTCAGAATTTATTAAATGTCAATTATACTGTTTGGTTTTTCACTCGTTCATTCAATTTTTAACAATTTCATGTTCCTATGAAAGAGAGAGTGCGAACAAGGATTTCTTGATCTTGAAATTGTTTGGGGAACTCTTCGAAGGATATTTGTGGTTTCAATATAACTGAAATGATCCTTCACTCATTAATTCTTTGAAGCCTATTCTCAAATAAAAATTTTCACATTTAATTAGTAGCAAGTTTGTCCGACTGAAGGCCCATATGCCACAGAGCTCACAGTGCCAAATATTGTGGTCCATGGAAGGTTATTTGACAAAAGTGAATCATTTGCATCCACGTCAGGTGAATTCATGGTACGGCCTGAGTCACACATGGTTCCATTACCCCCTACCCTGTTTGAGTGGTCGGGCAAAGTGCCATGATCTACAATATGGGGAAGTGAGATGTTGATCCCCCCAAGCAATGTAAATAGGGAAAGCAACCATATTAAAGATATTAATTGTGGCCCTCGAGGTCTTGCAAGTTTGACACCCCTGGTTATTACTTTAACTGCTTCTCTCATTTCTTTCTATTTTGTTCAAAGCTCAGATGAGTAGGATTACAATGAATAATTATTTGTTGCATCTAAATACAGCAAAATTTGTCTAAACTGGAATGTTGAAGTTAAAATTCTGCTTTAACTGGAAAATTTCGCCGGTCTGTGCAGTCAAACGGCTTTTATTATTATTATTATTATTATTATTATTATTATTATTGTTGTTGTTGTTGTTGTTGTTGTTGTTTTGAATGTACTACAGGGGAAAAAATATTAAACTCAATTTCTGTGAATTTAATGCAATTGGCGGAGAGATGCAAGATGTTCTTAATGAATTAATGCATCTGCAAGCTTATTTTAAATTATCCCTGTGACACAATTTAGTTGTGCCAGCCAAACATTGAAAGAGAGGCTTCAGCTGTCAGTGTAGAATTAAACCTTGGGGTTGCTTGTTTCTTAGGTGTAGTCCGAAGGGGAATTCCTTCTCTCTAGACTCTTTTGAGTGTGGGAAGGTGTATGGGCATGGCTTCTATTCATGCGTCTCCCTGCCCTATCTGGAAATCTCTCATTGCTAACCCCTCAACCAGATATGTATTGCTCAAGGCCACAGAAGGCTCTTTTTCAAAACGGTCAATAAAGTGTTCAATTAGTAATTTCTTCAATAAATAAGTTGTTAATGTATTTTCATAATTATTATAAAGTCGTGTAATTTACTACTTTCATGGCAGAAACATAATTATCACAAGTGTCATAAAATAAGACAACATTGCATAAAACAGAAACCTACCTAAACAGGAATTGTTTCTGTACCGATCGATTCCGGTTGAGACTGTTTTTACTGTAATTTTATTTTAGTTTTTGCAAAAAACATGACTAGTACTTAACTATACCTAGTTGAACAGTTTGGGTGTGTGGTGTTTTTGTTTTTTGTTGTTTTTTTTTACTGAGGGAAATAATCTTGAGATGAAAGAAAGGACCCACTTTCTCCAGAGAGTTGTATGAAACCTATTCGTCATAAAATTTGATGAATTTTGATGAACATATAGGGACACACTAGTGCTTAACTTTCTGTTCCTAGGTGGGGTTGCGTATTATTCTCAAACCTTAAAATACCTGCATTGCAAAGTTTAATGCAATGTTACTAAAATGTAAATTAATGGATTAAAGTCAACATAGATTAACTTAATTGAGTGAAGTTTCAGTTAATTACATTGGAAATTTAACTTAATTTTGTTCTTTTTTTCTAGCCTCCTGTGGATATAGGTAGAAGTTTTGGTCGTGGTAGAGGATTCTTACCAGCCACATCATCCTTTGATGATTCAGAAAACAATAATTTTGGCTGCAATAATTATACCAAAAATGATAATGAGTATGAGGACCGCAGTTCAGGTCGTGGAGGGCGTGGTGGAAGAGGAGGGCGTGGGGGTGGTGGTAGAGGAGGATCAAATTTCAATGGCAGTGGTGGTGGTAATAGATCCAAACAATTTAGAGATGATGATGACGATGATAATGAAGATGATAGTGGAAGAGGTGGCAGAAGAAATGAAGGATTTCGTAATGATGATAGGCCTAGAGGTCGGCGGCAAGATAATGACTTTGATAGTGACAAACCTAGAGGTCGCAAAGGAGATGGTGATGAGCGACCCAGGGGTCGGAAACCTGAAGGAGGAGGAGGTAAGACATTGCAATTTATAGGGTCCTAACCTAATGGTAGGGGTGAAGAGATGATCCTTGGCGAGAAGAGGTGACGTTGACCCTCTTTCTATTAAACATGCTTATTAACATCAGATTAATGATAAGATTCTTGTATTCAAAATGTAATTAATTAAATCTTCTGTGTTGGTGGTTTGTTCAGTTAGCTTCAATTTTAAATGGCAGTGATGTGGGTTTCAGCAAGAGTAGATAAACACAGTTCAGTGCAGCTGCTTGTATATTCTAGGCTTAAGTGAGAGAATGTTTTGACATGTTTATATACAGGGTGGCCTTTTTCTTGAGAGAGAAATTGGGATTGTGTGGAATGATTGCAGGAATTCTAGAAAAAATTTGAGTTGGTTGTAAAATTCTGTTCCAAAAAAAAGTATTTTTACATTTAAAAAAAAGCATCTAATTACTCTCAAATGTGACCTGATTGAAGACCTGCTGACCTGTTCCAAAAGTACTTATCCCTGCCATTCGTGTTCCTTTGGTAATTGTAATTTTGTGCTGGTCTAGGACTCAACTTACTGTTTGGAGAGGTAGTATCTATAATTTTAGTTCTTAATTAAAAGCTCAAGTTATTAGATACATTTGTGTTTTCAGATGGAGATGAAAAGCCTAAACCTGAACTCTATATTCCTCCTGAGCCAACAGATGATGAAAATGTAATGTTTACTGCTGGAATAAGTTCAGGAATAAACTTCGATAAATATGATCACATTCAAGTCAAGGTGTGTCTGTATTGCTTTTTAATTAGTCATAATTGAAAGTCCTAATATTTAATTGTATCGATTGTCATTCTGAAAGTGATTTAAATTATATTTTATCATGGAACAGGTGTCAGGTGAAAATGTACCTCGTGCTATTGATAGATTTGAAAACTCTGGTTTGCGGCAATTTGTTTTGGACAATATAAAAAAATCGGGATATGCGAAACCTACACCTATTCAGAAACATGCCATTCCTATCATAATGAGTGGTAGAGATTTAATGGGCTGTGCCCAGACAGGTTCAGGAAAGACTGTAAGTCTCTCTCTTTTGTGTGAATGTGCATTTTAAAAGCAAATGTAAAAAAATTTTGCCGTGTGTTTTTCAGGCTGCATTTTTATTACCAATTATTAATGTGTTATTAAGTGATCCAAGAGATTTAATTCTCACTGCTGAACATTGTGAGCCTCATGCTATTATTGTTTCACCTACAAGGGAACTTACACTCCAGATATACAGTGAAGCTCGTAAATTTGCTCATGGTTCAATTATAAAGGCTGTGGTGACATATGGAGGAACAGCAGCATACCACCAGGCTCAGCAAGTAATGGTATGTATTTGTGACTGAACTGTAGTATTAATGCAGTTATTGTGCTCATAAAAGATAGTTTGTTGTGGTTGGTATTAATGCAAAAGAAAAAGTTAAAAACTTTGTTGTCCATGGAAATAATTCTCTTGCAGAAAGGTTGCCACATCCTTGTTGCTACTCCAGGACGCCTATTAGATTTTGTCAACAGAGGTCGTATTAGCTTTGCTTCCGTCAGATTTGTTGTTTTGGATGAAGCAGATCGGATGCTAGACATGGGTTTTATGCCTGATATTGAAAAAATGATGAATCATCCAACAATGGTGCCAACAGTAAGTTACCAGCTAAAACTGCTACAGAATAATAAAGTTTATGATTTCAGATGTTATATTGTTTTTCTGTGGCTGTAGATGTGATCTTGGAAGTTATTTATGGATTTATTAGAAAATATTAGTTTTTTATATATTTTTATATTACATATTTAAAAAAAAAATATTTTTATACAAATTTATATTTTAATGTTTCAGGGTGAACGCCAAACTCTCATGTTTTCTGCAACCTTTCCAGAAGAAATTCAGAGGCTTGCTGGGAAATTTTTATCAGATTACCTCTTTGTTGCTGTTGGTATTGTGGGTGGTGCTTGTACAGATGTTGATCAAAAATTTTACCAAGTCACAAGATTTGAGAAACGTCCTAAACTTGTAGAGCTACTGAAAGAAGAAGGTATGTTTAGATTATCAAGGCATCAATATTTGGTAAAATGCTCTTAATCTTTATCTTCAATTTTTATTATTATTATTATTATCATTTTTTTAGGTGGAGACAAAACACTGGTATTTGTTGAGATGAAACGGACTGCAGATTTCATTGCAGCTTATTTGTCTGAACAAAATTTTCCCACAACAAGTATACATGGTGACAGAATGCAAAGAGAGAGGGAAGAAGCATTAGCAGACTTCAAATCTGGTCAAATGGCAATTCTTGTTGCTACAGCTGTTGCAGCCCGTGGCTTGGACATAAAAAATGTGGCTCATGTAGTTAACTATGATCTTCCAAAGAGTATTGATGAATATGTGCATCGCATTGGTAGAACAGGCCGTGTTGGAAATAGAGGCAAAGCTACTAGTTTCTATGATCCTGAAGCTGATGCTCCTATAGCAAGGGACCTAGTCAAGATTCTTAACCAGGCATGTAGTTAAACAAATAATGTGCAGTTTTGTGTGAAATAAGTGATAGATTTTAATTCGTAAGCCCTTTTGTTAATTAACTCTTAAATTGTGGTCATGTGACCACAACCTTCCTCATTTGTGTTTATGATAAATAGTAGATTTATTTAGGTGTATTAGCAGCAAACAGTTATCACAAAATTTCAAACTACATGGGGTTGGGGTTGAGAAGTGCAGTTAAAAACTTATAAATTACTTCGGTCTGTGGCAAGAGGTGGTTAATACTCCAGACTGAACTGGAATTTACTGGGAAAGGCAATGAAATTTTCAATGTCTTACTGATGGTGCTGGGACATCAGATTACTTATGGTTATGGATATTTTGAATTTTAATCCTTTCTACATCTATTTCAATTAAGCCTAAATGTGTATAGTTACTGGAATGTACCCTCAGTAACATCATGATGCAAAAAGTGTACGTTTCTGATTGTAAGTCAGTGCTGCATGTTAAAGTTTCTACAATAGGCAATAGATTACAATTTGTGGTAACACTGCTCTGATCAAACTTTTATTTATTTATTTATTTATATTTGTGTGTGTGTGTGTATATATATATATATTATTATTATTATTATTATTATTATTATTATTATTATTATAATTTTGATTGATAATTTACTAATTGGAATAATTTTATGTTGTAATGTTTCATATGCTAAATTAAAGTGTTCTCTAAATATAATAAAGAATGATTTCATCTGCTCTTTAGGCTGAACAGCCAGTACCAGAGTGGCTAGAGCAAGAATCTGGTGGAAGTGGTGGGGGTGGCTTTGCAAGAGGTGGCAGGAGTGGTTTTGGTGGAAAGGATGTCCGCAAGGTGTGATAATGGAAACTACTACTTTGAGTTTTTTAATTAATTTTTGAAGTTTTTATTTTTCCAATTGTAAACATTTCTTATTAGTTAACTATGCTTTTCACCGGAATATCACAAATGTTGAGAAATGGAAATTGGTGTAATGCCATTGCTATCAATATTGGAAGCAAGTTAAATAGGAAAGTGCTTTGAATGTTTGTGATATTTTTGTGAAGAAAATTGTTTATTACAGATTTTTTTCTCTGTTCTATAAATTCACAATTGCTTTTAATTTGTTAGTTTGGCCAGGAGAGCAGTGGTGCTAGCGGCGGTGCCGGTGATTATGGACAGCCTCAATGTATGGAAGAGGACGAGGTTTGGTGAACTCAAAAGGAAGTTTCGAACTGAACCATTCCATTCTTTGGCTGTGTCAGGGATGACGTATGTGTGATAACTAAGTAATAGTTCGCTACGATTGAATAAAATATTAAGTTTTGTTCACTTGTATGTTAATTGTCTGTTACTTAGGAATGTGTTTGTTGAAGTTTCTGTCATCTTTTAAGAGTTTTTGTTTTCAATTAATATTTACTTCCCTGATTTGGAGACTTAGAAATTAAATTTGGTAGTTACCAGGCTACTTGCTGTGCTTAAGTACGGTTATCATGTGACTAAACGGTACAAATCTCATAAGATTGAGAGGATGAATGCTGTACTTAAAGGATTTCAACTCAAAAGGTGACATAAAAAAAATTTTAGATTTAAAAAATTTTTGTAAAATTTAATAAAAATATTTTCAAGAAAAATACCAGTGTTATTTTGTGAAGCTATTGACAATCATTTCCTCAATGGTGTTTATGATAAAAGTTCATACATTATATTTCAAGAACTAGAATTTTTTGGTATATATAATTTTGATGTTCTATTTCATCAGAAACTGGGATAATCCATTAAGCATTGACAGAATTTTCTTTGCTTCAGATGTTTAGTATTCATGCTGTAAAAAGATGGGAATAGCCTCTTTTGTACGTACTCTATACATTTAGACTAATATTTATCAGAATTCTTAGTATTCTGCACTTCAAACTGCTTGTAATTGAATGTTTTGCGAGATAAATTAAAAGGAAGCTGGGAGTGGAAAACAAACTGCTTGAAAGGAGTTGATTTCTGCATGGATTATTTGAGAGAAGTATGATAGTGTTTAACTGGAATGAACAGGTGGCAATTAGGACACTAGTGCTTTTATCATGCTGTCTTCTATATATTTCACCAAATTTTGTTTCCACTGAGGACAGGTGATTTCTAGAAAAAATTTTAGATTTGTTTACATGCATGGAGGCAGAGATAATTATGTGATTGAGACATCCATGTAAGATGGAAGACAATGTAGTTGCACATGTGGGTGGCAATATTCTAGCGATTAGATGATTACTGTTGCAAGTTTTGGATTTGCCTACTGAGAAAAGTAATGCAATACAATTATTGTATTGGAAAGTAATAAGATGTTTTGTGTGAACTGAAAGATACATTAGCCACTGTTTTTACAAATAATCATTTCTTTATTGCTTCCATAACATTTTGTGTAATTGGCTGACATCACATTCACTTTTCATTTTCTTTACAATAAAGTATTACAAACTATGAATTGTTTATCATTGTTATGCATTGTCATCTTTGTATATAAAAATGGATGTCAGACTGAGGACAAATTTATTGGGGAGAGGGGTTTCTAAATTAAAGCAAATTCGGTTACAAGAAATGTGGAACTTTAAAACTCCCTAGACATTGCTGCCAGACAGATGGGGGCTTAAATGAAAGGTTATGATTTTAAGGATAAATGTACTGATATGTTCAATTTATCGCCACCATGAAGCGGCACCAAAACAAGCCAAAATTACTTTTATAATAACTTCTGAACAAGTCTTGCTTGCTGATCCGGTGGTCGAGATATTGCTAAGGCAGTAGTGCTGTAGCGATCTCGGACAAAAGGATTGCGAGTTCGAGTCCTGCCTTGGGCATGTTTGTATTGTGTTCGTCCTTTCACCCCCAATCATCACATTGTGTAATTTTCAGTTACCATACCGTTACAAGCAATAGTGGTTGCTAATGACCTAGAAGTTGATGCGACCTTAAATTAAAAAAAAAAAGTCTTGCTTCTCAAGATAGCACAGGTCTGATGTTTACTGTTAACTTAGATTTTTTGAAGGTTACAAAAGTTGGAATTTTTTCCTGCGTCTCGTCACGACTACAATATGTAAGAGAGATAGTTGTTCTTCAAATGTAATTTGTTCTCCCTAATTAGCTCTTTCATTGACGTCGTGACCATTTCTTTGAAAATTTTAGTAGTTTACATGTAATATTGCGTGAAATATGTGTATCATAAATATTAAAAACAAGAATTATGCAAAAACAGCTCCATTTTTTCACTCTTTTGGTACGCATGGTGCTAATTGTTCTGTGTAGGATGACATAAACACCGCATTGCTCTATTTATTTGTTGTTTATTTCAAAACTTACACAATTGTTTTTTTGCTTTTTTTTTTAACTTTCTCTCGCGTCCTTAATACTTACATCACCGACGACGTGTATACATTATTGCGCTTGTGAGTACTCGTGCTTTAAATGTCTCATAAATTACTAATAAAGACCGGAAAAACTACTAAGTATTATGAAACGTCAAAATATGTAATGTTAAAATACAGTAATTATAAAACAAACGTTTACATAATACGAAATTACATTTATAAACATTTTGAAATAGATTTTAAAAATAATTTGGAGAGTATGAATTGATGCAAGTTTTGTACCATACAACTTTTCCGTCAGTTGTAAAACCTTCATCTACTACTATTCAGTACGGTCGTTTAGCAGCCAAACTAGACCTCTATATACCGCTATATACTCTCTGAACTAGACGCTATAGGAGACATCCTACTAACTAGCGATATAACGACCAGCAAACAATCGTTGCAGCGTGCAGCATTCTCAGCGTGTTCACGTCGGCGATCGGCAAAGTTACTGGGAAGTTGAAGTTTACGTGACGCGGCGTCAGTGATACCTTTTCATCACACCTGACCCAATGTCACTGACGCGCACTTCCCGCTACTGAGATAACTGATGCAGACGAGCAGGATTGTGAGAACATCCTACCGCGACTTCATGAAGCGAACCTCGAATAGACGGCACGCAGTAACGATGTAGGAAATCAGTGCTTTTTTAATACTTCTTTTCATAAAATGAGTCATAAAGTTGATAGAATAAAAAAATATTTTGTGAAAATAGCAAAATACGTAATATAGTACTAAATATGTAAAAATATGCAACGAAAAATTTTGGTATTGTTATAGGACGGCGACGAATCGCCAAGACTAAAATTTTTAGATCGAAAAGTAGAAAGACAAAATATTTATAATTACATAAAAATCCTGTCTCATAAAGTTCCCCGAAAAGTATTCTAAAAACTTGAGCTCGCAGATCTGCATTTTCCGATTCACTCAAACGTTAGTTTCTTAAAATTGTTCAACAAAATGTACATGTATGACGAGGTTTTATATTTCTATAGTATTCTTAAAGTCATGTTTCGGTTCTATCATTAGGGATAAGAATTGGAAAAAGTGTGAAAAAATTATCTTTAGGTGGCAATGGCTGGCAGCTGGGAAGAGGGTGGAGTAAAACTGAAAATATAGCCTAGAGCAAAGAAATAAGAATACGAACAAGTTTCATGAATCATAATCACGAGCATAATATACATTTCATTTTCGTTTTCTCCAATAACTCCTGCATATTATTACGACGGAGGGCTTTTATTGCGTTCCTTTCAGGCATTCAATTTCTCTGCGCGTCCAGCCGCTGCGAAGGATTGGGGCTTGCAGGTGCTAAGAAGGGATTCTCACAGCCGTTACTGTTTCAGGGGCGGGCGCCAACGAACAGTCGTCATTGCTCCCAACAGCCTTTCCTCACATTCAAAAATACTTTTGATATCCACAGTCTTAGACGTGTACATACTGCCCTTGTTCGGAAAAAAGTCGTAGAATTTTCATCGCACCCTCTCCGAGATTCGGACTAGAAGGGTAGCAACGACTACATGTATTTATTTATTTACGTAAAAAACAGTTAAAAACTGTCTGACTTATTACGAGGAGAAGGCCAAACTTGCGGGACTTAATTTGAAATTAGATTTATGACCAGAAATAAAACAAGGCGCCATCTCAGCATTTGCTCAAGGATCTGGGAAACTAGACGAAATCTTGATTGAGAGGGGGGTCGTTGATCCAGAAGCTGAATGCAATAATTGTTAAAGGTTCTTTATAATTATTCAGTCCAAGTGGTAAATATTACATTACATGTCACTGTTAAAATTAATATTACTTTCCTTTTAGATGCTCGTAATAGTCTCCAATTGTATGCAAACAGTTATACAGTAAAGATTTGACTTAGAACTTAAACTTTTGCATCGAATTTTATCGTTTAATATCATCTGGCAAAGTGTTGTAAAATAATGTACATGTTTTGCATGTGATTTTTTTTTATAGTGAGCTGTTTATACTGGCACAAGGCTTGTAAATGCAAATTCATATACATTTAATTTCAAAATTTTAATATTCAAAATTAAAACACGCACACAATCCTTCTGATTTAGGAATCTCTAGCATATTTACGGGAGGAATAGTTTAATTCGACAATGACAGCGCGCTATTTTTAGCTCTTTTGCAAATTTGTCCCTGCGAAAACATTTTTAAAATTAGCTTCAGCTATTTTACTTGAAGGAAAATCACAAAGTGAATTCTATCAAGGAGACAAACGCCGTTTTGAGATCAAAAATCGAGTTGTAGAATGAAAGTGCTCGTGCGTAATATCGCTCATATATTTTTTTAAGAGTTTAAAATTCCTCTATATAAGCATTGTACTAGCACAGAACGGTCTTATAACGGATTTGGAGAGGGTGAAAGAAAGTTCTTCCTCTACAGAAGCAATTGTACAGTAGTTTCTTTCGCGATATAAAATACGTTCTCCATATATACACCGTTTACGAGGAGATGCAGATAAGTGAATAGTGCAGTGCTGTGCTGTCCATAATGGATCCCGGAGGTGAGGGGAAGGAACATCCGCCTCCCCCCGGGTCTACAACAAGACAATGGACTAACAATATTTGTTGTTGTTCTTTTTTTTTTATTTATCGCGTTACGCATGGGGTGCATGAAACATGAGCAAGCATGAGGTTGCCATTCCTTCTGCTTCGCGTGTGCATCTGCTCATCTTTCAATCCGAGTGCGCGCTTTTCAAGCAGCAAGGGGAGGAATAAGTTCGACAATTCACGAAGAAGGACCGGTGGTCATAGATGCGCATTGCATTGCTTTGTAAAAAAGGTGATTCCAGTATCATGATATATTGCGAACTCACATCTGAAATGTTCCATTTTGACGAATAAATATATTTAAATGTAACGAAATATGTAGTAATAGGTAAAAATGTGTAATTATACCAAACTATTTAAAAATATGTAAAATAAAAATAGTTATATTTCATTCTAATGTCCTGTGAACGCTAAAAAATATTTTTGAATGCAGCTAGGTTTTTCCTGTAAATACATGTATCTACATGGAAATCCTTTCCGTAGTTATAAGATTCATTTTGCTGAATTATTTTGTTTTTTAAAAAAATCATACAAATGTTTTGTTTTTAAATCTCTCACGCCGTTAATATGCACATTTTCTGCAAATTGAAAACACTATTGCATTTGTGAGTTAAGTGCTTGCAATTACTTCTATTGGAGTTTTTCGAGTACTCAAAAAATTTCTGTGAAAAGGAGCGTTAAATTATGAATTTACATAGCGCTTAAACACTATTTTCTTAAAAACCGTTCCAAATTGTTCAAAGAACATTGCAGTTTAGGACGAGATTTTACTGTTCTTTAATATTCTTAAAATAATATTTCCATCCTACCGTTAGGAAACCGAAAAAATAACAAATTCAAAATAATGTATTTTGGGCGGCGAGAGATGGCAGCTGGCAAGAGAATGTGGCAAGTTCGTATAGCTAGTCGAGACCAAAGGAAATAGAAAACTAATTCGGAAAAGTCTGTGCCATTCTGTAGCACCACAAGTTCTACTTAAATAACCTCTGTTTCTAATTTCAAGAGCCTTGAAAGTAGAGGTGCTAAAACAGCACGTATTTTCCCGCCATTAGAAATGGTTATGGTAACAAATAGAGAGCAGAATATGTATCATAATCGTTCTTAAATATGAACACTCCAGTTTAGACAATTGAATGTTCTCATTCAGTACAAATAAACAGTCTTCTTTCTTATAGCAATTCAGTGTGGTGATGAACGCATTTGGTCTCAGTGTTCACGTGTGGTGGCGCGCAGCCAAACTAACGCGCATTGATGCACTCTTGAATCTGCGATGCAGTGCTAGGCGGAAAAATTCCTAGGAAAGCCCACGCTGCATTCACTGCGGCGAAGGTTACCCGACGAAAGACAGCCACAACAGCAAGTCTGCTGTCTGTTTCAATTGCGGAAAAAACATTCCCCAGACTACGGCGGCTGCAAAGTCCACAGCGAAGGATAAAAATGTTGGTCAGGGGCAAAACAGAAATGTTAAGCGGAAGCTTCAAAATACACCGCCAGATCGCAAGGAGATATGAGCACTACCTTTGCGAGCGCCGCGCACTCTCCACCCAAACCCCTCTCTGCGCAAGCAGCGCGCGCCGACCGGAGGAAGGCCACCTCTAGTGTTCGAATTCAAGAGAGCGCCGCCCGCCCTGCCGTTGCCTCGCCAAAGGCGCAACTACACGACCCACCTGTTGCCAAGTCGGAGGCAGAGCAACTCCGAAAGGAGGATTCGAACCTCACCACATTTATACAAACTCTCTGCGCTTAGGTAACAGCCCACAAGGGCTGAACATCGAACGGAGGGAAACACCAGGCCCCGCCCTCTTGCGGTGGCCGCCTGGAACGTCAACGGCCGTTCCGGTCACACGGATCCGGGAGATCGACGAATTATCGAGCTATTCTGCAGTAAACATCACATAGATGTACTTTTATTGCAAGAAACAAAGCTCATAAGCGCCGACGACCTGGCTACCTACCGAACCGATCGCGATGCTCGCCAACGCGGAGGCGGTATAGCGGTTGCCGTTCGTCGCTCGTTGCCCCATCGCCCGGCAGCTATACCTCGCCTCGCGAGGCTTGAAGCGGCAGCGATTGTTGTAAACACGACGGAAGGCGACGTTCCACTGGTGTCAGCATACCTAGCTCCAAATCGTCCTCTCATAGACAATTTCGGCACTGTGTTCTCCCTAGCACCTCGAACGGTCTTGGCGGGTGACCTCAACGCCAAGTGCGAGGAATGGGGATGCAACACAACAGCAAAGGAAACTTACTTGTAAGTTTCCTGCTATCGCACAACACTGTGACACTCATCCTGCCCTCCACACCCACCCGTTTTCCCACTGATCCTCGCCTCCGACCCGAAATCCTAGTCGTGGCACATCGGGGAATACGTGAGTCACTACTCCCAAACCCATCCCCATTCAAATTACAACGTAAACCTCAAGTAGCCCAGAACGCATGCGTGCGTTTTATTTTCGATCTAAGAAAATACGTCCATGTATCGGAATTTTTGGACAGAATTCGTATGCTTACTGTAGACAAAAGACGGTTACTCCACTCTCTACTTCTTCTTTATAAAGTTTTAACCGGTTCTCATGCAACACGCCTCAAGTAACTTCAATCCTCTGAAATTAAATCGAGCTCGTGAATTAGCTCTGCTTTGTGTACCACGTCACAACACGACTTCATTCAGTAAATCATTCACCATTTCAGCTAACCGAGTCTGGAATAAATTACCAGTGAGACTAAAACATTCAAATACTTTCGGTAAATTCAAAAGTGAATTAACCACATGGGTAAGGAATAACGACATATAGAACGGCGTTAAAGTCTTCTTCAATCTCCAGACTTCTCCCACTTCCAAGCACTTGGTCACCGCCTCCGTTAAACACCCCCTATTTTCCTCCTCTCTACTTTCAATATTCTACCCCATACCTTATTGCTCTATCCTCATCTTCCATTCCCTCTCACACCTAAATTATTATCATTACTATTTTTCTGTGTACCCTAAGGAAATTGTTAATAAAATATCCAAAATTATTAGTGAAGTTCCTGGTAAAATATTCTTGTAGCTATCTTTGTACCATTATCATGATATTCATTACAATATATTGGCATAAACAAAATTGATGTTAAGATACCAGCACTCTTTGTATTGTTCCTTAATACTGCCAGTATTGTGTTTACAATTACTGTTGTTATTTGCTTGTAGTGTATTGTGCTTCTCTGGTTTTAAAATTATTGTATATTTATGAAAAGTGCTACTGTAAAGCAAACGTCGCTTTGTGTAACGTTCCTCAAATAACTTCACTTTTTTGCCTACTTCTTCGATTCTTTTCTCTTCCCTCTCCCTCACAAATTTTATCATTTTTACTTTGTGACCCCTTCCCCTGTACGTTTTTTCTTGTCTCTTTCACGAAACTTCCCTTTCACTACTATGTACAACTTACTCAGTACTATTAATGTTCAGCCCTAAGCCGCCATCCTGATTGAGGTTTTTCTGGGTTTACTCAATCGCTTAAGGCGTATGCCGGGATGGTCCCTAGATTTGTTCTCCCATACGAACTGACTGGGATGAGTTTCGCAATCAACTCACTTCACTACACTCACAATCACAAGCCTTTCTGACAATGAACTCCCCGGAATCCATAGACGCGAACGTACACACTTACAAAACATATAAAAACAGCCCATAGAAAGGCGATGCCGGTTTTCTGGCGCCCGCCCGAAGAGGGGTCAACACACTTCCTCCGCACGTCGAAGAGCTTTTGCGTTAAACGCGACTTTGGTAGCAGTTTAGTCTCCTAATTAAAAGAAGGGAGACCGTGTGAAAAGAAAAGTATTACCATGATACGATCACCATTGCTGACAACCATCGTTGATGGGGCAGCTTTTAACAAATGCATTGTTGCACACTCCCGGCAAACTTTCAATAACAATTTTGACCTGCAATTTCTCAAAGCGTAATAACACTATTGGAATAATTTTAAAAGACATTTAGGAGGAAAATGTATGATCCTTAAGAAACGTGTAATAAATTTTAATGAGTTTCCTCATCCTTTTAAAAATATTCGTTAAAATCTGAAAAAGTGCACACTTCAATTTTCTTTTAAGGAGTGGCAAATGAATAGGGTAATTATATTCTTTTAACAGGTTCATCCCCTTTTGAAAGGGTTATTCTCCATAGGCATGGCAGCTGACCAAGGTACTCTATTTTTATACACACAGAGGGCCTTGGGCTGACTCTCGTTTTCGCCTTAGATGACATTAAAAAACAAAACAAAAAACAATGAATTAGCGGTCCATAGATCACTACAAATTTTGTCCCTGCCTCTCGGAATAGGAATTTTCCGAGCACTCTAAATAAAACAATTTGTTTCAAAATTTGTGTATACAGAGGTTGAATTTGGACGAACAAACCTTCAAATTATTACGTACAATTCTTCCAGGTTTGCGAGTTTCTAGAGAAAAGCTTAAAAACACATTTGTATCGTTTGCCCCTTTCGCATACTCTACAATACAGTTGGTACCATTGGTTTCGAAAGACAAAAAGCAGTTGCGGCGTATGCACCGCCGGTGCACCGCGTAGTAGAGGGTTATATTGCTTGTTACTTCTGGAGTTAATTTCTTGTGGACAGCTTGTGGATGTGAGCAGAGCAGATCCGATGGCCCCAAAGAAAAATTCATGGGGCACAGCAGCTTATCGGCATCGCGTTATGTCTAAAATGTAAGTTTTATGAACTAGAATATTGAATGATAAAATAGTACTTCTTTGTTGTTGCAAAAGTCCTAGAATGTATTCTTGTTGTAATGAACCAGGTCATTGTATTCTCTGTTTGTATGACATTCATTGCGATATTTAGTCTAATGTTCCCTTTTTTTATTAGCGAAGAAGCTGTTCAGAAATCGTCTTTACCACCGGCGAGAAGTAGTGTTGAGATGGAGAAAGATATCTTTCGGAGATCCAATTCAAAGGTGTGTATTTCTGATATTCTTTTCCTTTGTCCAGTTCTGTTAAGTTTTCATTTTATTGTATTATTCACGCATTTTTTTTTAGTGCCGAACATTAGTTTGTGACATTCAAATCCTATCCTACCCTTTTAGAAACCTAATTTTTATTTAAAAACATTTTTCTCTGAAATTATTTTCTTGAAATAATACAGTATTATGTGGGTTGTAATTTCATTAATATAATTAGAAAATATTGTCTTGACGATTTGGTGGTATTGGTTGTTAAAGCGTACACAAATATTAACTTTTGTTACTTTCTGTTAATTTTATTAGCAACCTTACCTCTTGTATCTCTGTTATTCATTATGAACTTTTCAAATAGTGTTAATATAGTCATATAATGCTTAAAGTAAATTAAATTTGTAGCCGTTTTTTTTTTCTTGTGTTCCATTCTATTAATGCCAAAACCTGTGTAAATTATGCAGTAAAATGACATTTTGTTGGCCATTTCTTTTGTGTACTTCTCCACTGTAGGAAGGGTTCTCACCCTGAGAAAGCTGCTCTGTGCACCACAAATTCCTCAGCTGGAATTGCACTCCCAGCCCCAGCAGGGGGAGAGTGAACAGGCTGCTCACTGCACCACAGATCAACCAACACTTTTTTACTATTTGTATGGATTAAATAGTACACTGAAATAAATAATATGCATGACCACCAAAATTGACCTTTAACTAATGGAAGAACATTATTTCATTTTTAAGGCATCATAATGTGTTTCAATTGAATATGACTTCTGTAACTACTTGTTCTATAGGTTCTACTTGTTCTGCTCTACAGGTTAAAAAGTATTGCAGGTTGCAAGTAGCTGAAAATAAAATATCAGTATAATTGTCAATCAGATGTAGAAAGAAATTGTAGGGAGATACACTATGAAGATGCACGATTTACTATGATATGAGAAGAATATGTTTTGTAGAATATTATGAACATCTTAAATGATTCCCTGAAGGAAAATTTTATTTTATAAGTCCAATTGGTGAGAGACATTGACATTGAGCAGTTAGCAGAGGAATTTTTACGAAATAAAGTAAGGCAATTGCAATTGTCTCTTACTTTCATGTCGAGGTTGCTAATCTGGGAATGAAATAAATTCATTAATTCAAAGGATTGTGGGTTGCAATGCTATCATAGGCATGATTATTTGTATGTCTGCGTGTGTCTGTAGGACTAACAACCACAGCTGGAACACTTTGTAAAGCACCCCCCCCTCTATAAATAATTTTGTTGTGATGTGGAGTTTCGATACTGAAATAGACTTCTTTACAGGCTAAAGGATCCCTAAATAATAGGGAAGAATGCCATTATTCTTATTCATTCTTCTAAATTCATTGTAATTGACAATATAAAAGTAAGATATTGTGATGTGAGTAAGGTTTTTTTGATTTTAGGGGGAATATGTAGCTGCTGCAGCACGTCTTATTCTAGATTTTCGACGAATGGGTAAGTTATCAGCATTGTGTGTTACGTTTTGAGCAGTGTTTGTGTGAACATTAATTATCATTTCAGAAATATCTGATAAAGGAATTGGAGATTTGAACTGTTTATTTCTTAAAAGAAGATTACTTGTATCTGCTTGGTAACTTTTCTACCAAACTGAAAAAATGGGCTTAAAGATTTTTGGCATGTTGTAATTTTTTGTCACAAGACTTATAAAAATAGTTACTAAATTCCATATCAGTATACAGAGGTGACCAAATTATTAGACTAGTTATTGAAAGGGACAAAAATGTATTTGCTACCATAGGTCTGGACAATAAACTGTGTGTGTAAAGTATTGTAATGTTCTATAAATATGCCCTTATTCCTAATTAATTAAGGTTGTTAGTCATGTTGAAAATGAATTTTTAATCTTTCAATTTCATGGACATTTTAACAGATGTGAATGACTTGTTTTATACAGTAGTTTTTATGCCTTTTCATTTAACTATAGATCAAACATTTTCTATAGGAGTCATGGTGGCTATTTGCAGCCAGTAGAGCATAGATTGATCAATGTCCCGATATTTTCCTAGTTTCTTCCAAATTCCAGCCTGAAGTGTTGCCATGCATGAATATGTATGCATTTTTTCAAACTGCTCATTTATTTGAAGGAACTATTGGTTCATTAGGGCATTGGCCAATCATTATAATACATTAATTATGTATGCATTTCCACTATTATTAACAGACATTACACTTCAAGCCATCACTTACGTCACTTCTTAGGACAGTATTATAAGTTATTAAGTCAAGGAAAAGATATTTTATCTAATAATTTGGCCGCCTATACAAATTTGGTTCTTGAATGTATTCCGTGAAATTCATCATGTGACAGAAATTTAATGCTATTTTAGCAGTGTTTGAAAAGCATTAGTATATCAATGGTCTTCCCATTACTTAAATTTCATGGGATGATTGTGTTCACGTTTATGGAGTTAAAAGTAATGTTAAATGGAATAAAGTTAATTAACATGCTGGTATCTATGAAACGTGTGGTGTTAATGTTTACAATGGTAAATATAATAATAATTTACAATGGTAATAATAATAATTTTATTATTAATATCATCTTAATAATTCTATTTATTTTTAATTTTTGCACATCTTTAGAACTATGTTACTGATTTGCTTGTGTTTCCTATTTAATAATAAGTTATTCCTAGCTATTGATTGATGAAAAATTATTGCTTATTTACTGAAATGAACTTTAATTTGTATATTTGGTAATGAATTCGGTCTTCTTACTGTAATTTGTATTTTTTTCAGAAAGGAGACCTGAGACTCCACGATTGTACATAGGTGTTGGTGGTAATATGTCTCATTGTCATAACCATTGTCATGTACTTTCTCCAATATTTTTGGGAGGAGCTTAGCCTGAAAGACTGGCAATGAGAATTATATTTTCAGAATTAAATTCTAAATTTTCATTTAAAAAAAATTAATTCTATTTTTAAAACTTTTTTTTACTAGTTTGTCAGCAAATGTAGATATGCAATTGTCAAATTGTTAAAAAAAATGTAATGTTGACATTTGGTGACTAATGTGTTTTTGATCAAACGTCCTTCTTCTTGATTTTTGTTCTGTACTTCGATTTTTGACATGACTCTATATAGAAAGGGAACTTATGTATAAGCATTGGATGTAGTGTAAAGGAAATTGATGTATGTTGTGTGTGTAAATTTATTGGAAAGTTTTTTTGTTGTTGTTTTTTTTGTTAATATAAAAATAATGCTGTGATGTTTGTATTATTGTCCAATCTCAAAGAGATTAAAAAAATTCAGTCAAATTGCTTATATAAAATGAATATGCTGTATAATTATTAATAATTAATTTTTCTTCTGTAAAAATGACACCTTTTGGAATTTCAGTTTCTCCTGTAAAATGTCATATGACTGTATGTTATGTTACAATAATTGGGTTTTACATGAAAATTAGTAAATTACTATGTATTTATGCTCTTTAATTTAAAGTACAAATGTTATTTCTTTTGTACAATTTGTTTATTTTGTATTCTAATTGCTTATAAAAAAAAAAGTTCATATGCTATCAAAATGGAAAGAGAAAATATTGACTATTGTGAATTTCTAATCAATTTTCCTTTGTCAGTTGCTAGTGACCTTGTGTAGTTTTAAGACCTTATATAGTTATATTGTTAAAGTTGTAAAACAAAAGCTACTTCTTGGTCTTGTATTCCTGGGGGTCAAAGCTTGACAAGGTACCTTGTGGCTGATATCTGTAGTCTTACACCATTAAATACCAGATACTCTCCCTGCTTGACTTGGGTTCCCTGTCAGAAAAGTGATAGAGAGCGGATGGTCAGCAAACACACTCTTCTTGTGGTGGCGCCTGGGGTACTTGGTCGCAAAGAATAGAAACCAGTCCTTTAGAGGAGAGCAAGGGCGAGTTTCTGTTACTTTACAACAGGAACCCTGGAATCATGAGAATGGTGGTAGGAAAAAGAGGGGAATCAGCTCTGTTGGCACAGAGTAGCCAATCTGGGAGAACAAACCCTGATCCTCAAAAGACTGTGGGGGAGGGTCATTAAATCAACAGCTGGCTCAAATGTGTGGGTGTTGTTGCCTTAATATGCTTATAAGCAGGCTATTAAAAAGTTTGAACTACGCAAAAATGTTTAAAAAATGTTTTTTTTTCTTGTGTAAATCTTTTTTAAACTTTTGTTTTAAAAAAAAATTCTATATTTTTACATACCAACTTTTTAAAGTTGCATATCTAAATAGACATGAAAAAAAACAGATGTTACTAGATGGATCTATTCTACACTGTAAATTGTAGTTTTGAAAGTGAAAGTAGTTTCTTATTGGAAACCAACTTTGAATGGCCAGCAACCAAACTGTGCATGACAGCATATACTAGGCTGGTATCAATGGGTATCTAAACATTCTATACTGAGACTTGTTTCAATAGCACAGAATATCAAATGGTCAATTTAATTTTGTATTAGATATTGAGATTCTGTGTCTGATCCTTGCGACATTGTGGAAGTACCTAATACCCACGCAACATTCCTGGACTGATGGCTTGGAGAAATGCAGGTTGAATTTGTTTTTACTTTTATTTTGGTGGACATGTGTACAACCATATAAGGAAGATTACATCACACAAACATGTTTCAAAGCGTAAAACTACTTGCTCTTGCATGTACAAATCTATGACTAAAGAATGACAAGTATTCTATTGACTTTTTGGATGTAAAAATTCACACAAGTTGAAAACCTGTTGATCTAGCTTTTTAAATTATCCACAATATTTTGGGATAAATTTATTAAGGCCATCATAATATTTCTTAGATTGTCGTATAATTAACAATACCATAATAAATTAGCAGCAGTGTTGTAATTCACACCTCATTTGCACAATCCTGAATTAACAAAATTAAATGTGTTCATGCAGTACGAATAAAAGAACCCTAAAAACCAAGGTGAGGAAAGACACTCTCCTAAAATTTTATAAAACATTAGCTGTGTCAACTGGTCTCTATAGAAGTGAAATGTGGGTAACAATAAATCTTGCAGTAGTATTCAAGCTTCTGAAATGAGATTTTTGAGATCAATATTGGGCTTTACAAGAGAACTCAGAATAATAAATGACTACGTAAGAAATAAGTTAGGGATATTTAATTGAAATGAAAAAATAAAAGAATACAGGAGCACATGAGCAAACCACATACCAATAATGGAAAATTCCAGTACTCAAAAAGAAGTGACACAATATCACTTAAGGAAATTGGTGTTGGACAACAGGAAACAAGAAGGAAGGACCAATTGAGTGTGCAATGGATTACAGTCCAATGCTTCATGAAGAAGAAGAAATCTGTTCAAACTGTAATTCAATGGTGAATGATATGATTTCTATCTGTTAATAATAATTTCTTTTATACATTTAAAATTGTGAAACCATGGTTTCGATAATGTACCATAATAACACTGGAAAGCAACTTTCTACTTTTTTTTTCTGGATGAAAGGAGGTGATTCTTACAGGAAATGAAATGTTGCATCTTCAGTATTTTCTATTACTTGTGGGAAATTGACAACTGAATGATTTATACATTATCATCAATAAATCGTAAATTGAATATCATCAATAAATTATAAAGGTCACATACAATGATTTTTATTTAGTATTTTAAAAGTTAAAAGAATTTTTTTGGAAATGTGACTGTCAAACAAAAGAACAAACAAATTCTGATTCATTGATACTAAAATGTAAAAACTGTCCATCCGTTACATATGAGGTTCATCATCGATATTACTGAATACTTATTACCTTATTGCTGGCCAGTGGCGTAGCGTCAGGGAAAGCTCAGATGCTGAGCATCCCCGTGTAAAATAATAATCAAAGAACCCAAAATACTGTATTAATAATCTTGCAAGAGACCGAAAAACGTTTTGTATTAATGAAAGTGATTTCCTATGATTGAATTCGGCGCGTAGTTATAAGCTGGCTTCTGATAGCTTGGGCGCTAAAATGCTTCTAGCGTCTGCCGCGAGATTGCGACGCGCAATGACGCATGCGCAAATGGCAAAGACTCCTGCGCATGATAGAAATACTGTCCCAGAGATTCCAGTGTGTCTTATTTTAGCAGTATGTTAGTGCTTGCCTACTAATTCGTAATATGTAAGAAGTTGAATTCTTATTTAATTATTACTTAACTTGCATTAAATACTAGTGAAACCCGGCTGACATTGCCCTGCTATCCATCTCCTTCCTCCGTTTTCCTTCCATCTCTCACTCTCTCTCTCTATCCATGCTGTCTTACCGGTTTGTCCGTTTCTCTCTCGCGTCGCCTGTCCTGTCCTCGGCTTTGCCCTGCGTCACACGGCAACGCCCAGCAACAATGAAGTTCGTGTGGAGGTCAGTTTGAATGGATATCGAATTGAAATTAAGAGCAATTTTATGCTGCAGCGCCACATGCTGAAGAGCACAAGAACCATTGCGAGAAAAATCACGCAGTTGAGCTTTCATGGAGATAGGACACACTATTCCACCACACCGCTGCTGGCCTCTGGCGGAATATTTTAGGAACCTGTCTCTTAGCGACGGGCAAAAAATAATGATCGTGGTTCATCTACCAGCATATTATTTAAATGATTTATTTTCGAATTTGTTTTGTATTAATCTTTACCTAACTTGCAAGGACACTGCGTCAAATCCTGAAGAAGAGTGTAAATGTTTCGTATTACTCATACACTCTTTTTGAAGAATCGATGTTGATTACATGTCGTTGAATTCACTTTTATTGAAAGAGAAGATTATTTTGGTCTGAAATGTATAAATTCACAAGTGATCCCATTGCAAATCGTGCATGAGAATTAAAGCTGAGTCATTACATAATTTCCTTTCAAGAAGTCTCCGGACATAATCTGTTGAAGTATGGTAACATTTGTTTCGATAACATAGATTTTAGAGAACATTAAAGATCATGATGTCTTCAGTTCGTGTAATTTTTAGCATCCCCTAACGCGTGAGTCACGCTACGCCGCTGCTGCTAGGATCCATTGGTCCTTTCGTTTCAATGTTGGTGCTTCCCTCACTGCTAACCAACAGTAATCTAACGGCTAGTTTCAATCTTCCCTGTGAAATTGTCCGGAAAAACTCCGACTGCAATACACGAAATGAAGCTTTAAAGATGTTAGTAAATCCGTCGTGCGGTAGACCACTAACAGTTTTTCATCGTTTTGATAATCTTCGGATTTCCTGTTCCCTAAGAAGTGGAACATGACAATTTTTAAGCACTACCAGTTTTATCCGCTTCCCCTTCAAAGACCGCGTATAGTCAGCAGTTAGCCCGCTAAAGACCGCTCCTGTAGTTTTTGCAACCTCTCTCACTCACCACCCACTTTGCGTCCGTGCGTGTGTGTATGAGAGCGTGCAACGTGCCGGGCGCACAGCGCCTCGGCGAGCGCGGCGGCGGCGGCGGCCGCCCACCCGGCGCCCAGCAGGCGGAAGGCGACGCGCAGGTGCGCGCGGCGCAGCGGGTAGGGCCGCAGCGGGCGGGCGCCCGGCAGCAGGCGCACCAGGCCGAAGCGCGCGCGCATCTGCGGGGCCGTCAGCCGCCAGAACTCCTCCCACAGGCCCCCCTGCAACAGAGCGCGCAAAGAGAAAAGAAAAACGGGAGAGTTGCCTCGGGGCATCAAGTGATGTCACTGCAGTGCCTCTGACCGGGAGGTCCTCGGGTTCGAGTGAAGTCGGTAGTAGGATTTTCGATAGCTACGTCGATTTCAACCGCTGTCTGGGGGAGAAATCTAGCGGCCGGCTGCTCTGATCGGTAGTTTTCCGTGGTTCCTCCGGTCAACCCTAGGTGAATGCCGGAACAGTACCTTAATAAACGATCCCGGAGCGGGCGCCATCGCTCCTTCTTCCTTGTTCTATATACTTGTCTTATTTAAACGCACACACACACTTGTCGGGAGGTTGGTGCTTGTCCCGGCTGGGGCGGTGCCCCGCTGGTGGGAGATGTTTGATTGGGGAAAACTCCGTAAGCTGACGGTAGGTTAGCGCTGGATCTCGCCATAGCGGAAGAGGAGTACAGCCATATTCTGCGATAAAACCATTTACTACACTTAGGAGACCTTAGCGATTGACGCGCCCAGAATTACCAATAAAAATCTATAGTTATCTGCAAAAAAAAGTTTATCGTTCGTTACGTGCGACACAGTGCCTACAAGTCAGAATTTCGGCTTGTATAACTATATTAATAATTTCCAATGCGTACAGAAGTTCCAAGAAAACAACGCAACTTCCATATAAAACATATGACACACACAAAACAGTGTCTCAGAGCCAGAATTTTCCTTCAGGTGTATAACTATATTTCTAAATTCAATGCCTGTAGTTGACAGACAACTTGGCAGCATCAGTAAAAAAACGATGTAACAGAGGTATTTTAAGCTGGGAAAATGTAGCTATTTCACATTAAGTGCGCGAAGTGGGTGTTTGTTGATGGACGAGATTGAATTGTTTGCCGAGAACACAGCACAAAAGTAGTATTATGGAAGGAATTAATAAATAAAATAATATTAAAATTATAATTAAATAATAACAAACTACTTTATTCATATATTCCTCCATAAACTAAATGGAAAGCCGGCTACTTTTCCGTCCTGTAGCCAAAGCGTGTCTAGTACCTGCAGAGCGCGCTGCACCAAGGCGTCGAGGCGCGAGGCGTACGGCGAGTGGCGCTGCCCCACGTAGTGCGTGAAGCTCGTCGTGAAGACGCACTCGGCCACGCGGTGCAGCGGGGAGTAGCCGCCCGCCGAGTACCTGCACTGGCGCACATTCAAGTGGTTGCGCAAAAGCGGCTGATGATTAATACATTAGCTTTAACGTCACAAAACAGCAGCCATGTGCTGCAAACTATGGGGACAAGGGTAATACGAGCACGTTTTCTTAAATTCTGTTACTTACACCACCCTACCCGTACCTACCTTACACCACCCTACCCGAGTTGAATTATGAGTATAGGCAATGACAAGCGTTTTTTGCAAGAATTTATTAGAAAATATTGGCTCCCATTTAATAAAACTATTTACAATGGCAAATCAGCTACAGATTATGGTTCACAGCCCTCGTCGTGCTCTTGGTCCGAGTAGCATTATTTCCACGAGAACACGAAGAACGTCAATTTGAATAGCTATATTCTCTCCTGAACTTTACAAAACGTGCTCCGGTAGAGAAGTTAGATGTAAGTCCAGGATTAAACAAGAGATCATGTCAGCATTCGCTCAAAGAAGCAGAGAAACGGACGAAAACCTGATCTTGGGTCATTGACAGAGAAGCTGAGCTACATACTTGTGACAGCTATATTTAGTCTTTTAGCAACAGAGACTGTTTGCAGGGTGGTGCCAGAATGCTATGGCACCACCAACAAAAACCAAGGAAAATAACATTTTCAACACAAATGTGAGGATAAAATATCGATTCTTCAAAATATTGTTTCTTTTTATAAGTAGTCATCAGGCCGGGCGGATATTGCGGAAGTTGCAATGTAGGTAATGTTGGGGAAATTTTGAGTGTGTGAACTTTTTGGAAATTTGGTGTAAGGGATTTGGAGTAAGAGAAATATTCTATAAATGTCAAAATCCAGAAATTACGAATTACGTCGACGTTAATTACACTTTTTATACATTGGAATTTTACGACATGCATATACGGGCAACGTATAATTCTGATAATGATCTCTTTAAGTACTTAAATATAAAAAAAATCTTCTCCGAGGTAAATCGTTTGAAAATAGTTGTTAAACGATTCAATATAATTATATATTTTTTGTTGTATTTTGTAGAGACCCGAGACCGCGCGAGCATGTTTTCGCGTGTATATTTTCCAAAATCGATATAAAATCGATAATGAGCAATCGAGTTGACGGAACTCGCGGCCCTGAGAGTTTGAAACGGACATTTTGAATTTTGGGGGTAATTTGCACGCGAGCTTTGAGCTTAGAGCCTCAAAAACATTTTTCAATAATTTAAAAAGTTACTCCAAAATTTTGTCTTTAACTTTGTCCTCGTAGAACGCAAGATTGATTTAAAAAAATGGTGCAGGGCTCATTTTCTTTAAAATTCCCGTTTTTTTTCGAAAACTGCAAATGTTGAAATTGCATAAGCGTCGTCCCAAGTGAAAACGGCAGAGGGACGGCGTGGTGTAGCTGTTAAGTGCACAACGAGTTAACTCGATGAACATGCGTTCGAATCTCGGCGAGGAAAAAATTGCTGATGAGGAAATTTTTGCAGGTTCATGTACGTGTATTACAATAATATAGCGGGGCCATTACAAATAATGAGAGAAAGTATGTTGTGGTAGCACCACTTGTTTGAGATAATAGTAGTTTTCGCGTAACTTTACTTATATCATTTGGGGTTTCAAGTATTGACCAAGAAGTGTTAATAGAAAAGAAGTTGTAATTGTTTATATACCAGTAATATGACAAAATACGTGCTGTTTAGTAACACTATTTTATTGTATAGGAGGGAGATGTACCTTATTGGAATTTTCAGGCATAAACATTTTGAAAATATGTCAATGTGTAAAGTTCCCACGCAGAATCTCCGCACTAAGTGACGTCACAGAGGAGGGAAACGGCTAAAGTAATGCCGTCTAAAAAACATTGACTTTCTTGCTTTTCGATAGTCATCCTCGTCCAAAATAAATTACGTTAACATTTCATGTAAGAAAGCACACAAGAAAGCTAATGAAACAAATTACTCATCTTTCACAACACATTTCTAGTCGTTAGTTTAGCGATTACTAGCCCTAGCTGGCTCTGCCGTAGGGATTGTAATCGGTATTATCCCGACAGCGATTGCACTCGAAGAGAAACAACTCTCGTTTTTACGCGTTCTCGTGATATCTCGCTCATATTTTAATGTTTGTCGACTGCACGGTAGAGATGCGACATCGCTAACAAAATATCGATTTACAATCATGTGTGGAACGGTGTAATGGAAATAAAAGTTGCAATAAAAAAAGTTTCATATATGGTTTCATGACTTATAACTGTGATAATTGTTTCCAATCATCGATGTTGAAAATTTAAGAATCGGTTTTAATAAAACATCCAATACATCGATATTTTTTAAACTGCTTTAGTGTAAACGCAAGGAGACTAATTCGATAGTTGTCGTATTTGTTTATTTTAATTGAGATTTAACTGACAAAACAATCAAAAAGTGGTCAGGTGATTCAACAAAATCTTTTATCTAATTGAATATTTCCAAAATTATATAGACTTATTTATCGACGAAATGTTGATTTAAATTAGTTTTCACTTTTAGTCACTTTGGTCTGAAAAATGTTCATTTTATGGATATTTGAAAATTATTACAGGTTATTAGTATGTTGATACATTTTCATTAAAATATAAAACGTACAAACCCACGTAAAACATCGATCACAGAACATCGATGTTAAAGAATACCCATTTCAAAAATCAATTCACCGATGGTTATACCGATGTTTTGAAACATTGATATCGATGTCACATCCCTAGTGCACAGATATCTTGTGCGAACGAACCATGCTGGGCTCCTCCGGCGCACCGATTTGTACTCGTTCCGCGCAGCACCAGTTTGCGTCACGAACCACGTGACCACAACTCGGGCCATTCGCTTGAAAAACCAAACCAGTCGCAGGCCGTCAAGAAACATTTTGAAAGTGGCATAAAGTGACAATTTTTACCGAAACGTAACACGATGACGGTGAAATGGAAATAAAAGTTGCAATATTTTAAAAAATGGTTCATATATTTGTTTTAGTAACTTGTAACTGTGATAATTTTGCCATTTAGAATTCCCGCTAACATTGTGACGCAAACTGGTGCCCGAAGCTCATTGACTGAATCGGATACGATGCGCCAACGAGTGCGCACTGCGAAGCGGCTCACCGCGCGCTGCGCTCCAAGAAGAAGGCGTGGCCGCTGCGCACTAGCGCGGCCCGGCCGCCGCCGCGCACGATGCCCTCGACCGCCGCCAGCCAAGCGTCCTGCTGCAGAGTGGGGCGGAATTTGCGGGCGAGGCGCCGGATGACGGCGCTTCGATCGTCCTGCAGGCGCCGACTCAGCCCTTCGTACACGAACACGTCGCTCACGTGCGCCGCCACAGCGCTCAGGGTTGCCAGGTTGGGCTCGTACTCCGGCGCGGCCAGGTAGCTGGTGAAGGAGCTCTGAGCAGGCACAAGCGTTGTTGTTTTCGTCAGCATCACCCTCTGAAGTGGATACAAGCAACTGACGCCACTAGTGTCTAACCTGGAGGTCCTAAGGATCGAGTTCAGACGGCTCACAGGGTAGATTTTACACACGAGTTATATACAGAGCTGAGTGGAATCCATCTAGTGTTTGGAGGAGAATTCTGTTGGCCTGCTAAAACGTGCTCTGTTCTATACTTTCACATGGATGTTTCTCATCAATGGTAGGCGAATGTGGAAAAAATTCTATAACAGGAACGCGCGATCCTTGCTCATCCTTCTCCCTTCCTCTCCTTCGCACAAAATGAAAATTACATTCACTTAGGCCACGGCTCGGTCAATTCACTTTGCTGGCTCAAACACGTTCACACCTGAACTCTATGCGGCAACGTCCCCTCAGCCAATTTATTAAACTCAAGTCCCAATTAAAACCATGACAGAGTTTATTTTATAACTCCTAACACCCAAATAAGACTTGTAAATAGTAAAGTATAGAAGATAAGCCGTTTAGGAAAAAGTAAACTAAAATTTTATATTTTATTAATTTTCAGTCATGGAAAGATACATTTGCTATTAGTTGTTTAGTGGAAAATAAGATATTTTTCTTGGTGCGTCATTTTGAAATTGTATTGTGGGCAAGGGTGATTTTGGAACTACGAAAGGAACAAGAGGGAAATTGTTCTTGCAACTTTTTATTTATTTAATTAATTAAATAATTAAATAAGTAATTAATTGATTTACTAATTATTTAATTTATTTATTAATTTACTCACAACAGGCCAAAGCTCTAACTACACTAGGTATTACAAGAAAAAACATAAAAGAAAAAATCATCAATTTCAAATGAAATCACAAAAATAAATCATTGAAATAAAATCAAAAGAATACAAATTTTTACAAAAATTGATAAAACATAACACACGAATAAGATTAACAAAAATGAAAACTGTATATCTTCAAAACTGTCATTACACAGATAACAGTCAAGAACAAAAATGAGCGTAAAATGACAATATTACAAAAATTGAAAACGCATCTTCAAATTAATCTGGAGATAATAGTGATGAATTCTTAAAATAATATATCCACATTTAGTGATCATTCAATATTTCATTCAAATTTTGTTAATATGTTAGGAAAGAAAAACTGAGGTATAAATCCTGCACTCTACTCAATTCATTGAATTTGGAAGAAATTCTCAAAACTGGTGAATGTTTGTGCGATGTTGATTTCGGTTTCTTAAAATATAATACTTCTCGTCCTCTTAAATTCGATACTCTTGCATTAAATGACAATTGTGACAGCAATTCATTGTTATCTGATAGACCATTGAATATTTTCAATAAAAACAATTGTTCAGCAAAGACTCTTCTATGGACAAGAGTAGTTAGATTGAATTCTTTAACTAAAATATTATAATAAATTTCATTTGCAGATTGCTTCAACTTTTTGTAATATAAATACCCCGAGAATCGTTTTTGACTTTCTTCAATTTGGTTACTTAGTTATAAGCAATAAGGAGATCAAATAACTGAAGCGTACTCCGATCGGTCGCGCACAAGACAATTAAAGGGGCCTTGAGGTGACATTGAAATTCTGCGAATTTTGAATAATAAACCAAGATTATTTAATTCATAATTTGTTATATTAACTATTTGTTGATGGTAAGTCAGATTATGTTGACCTAAGTCTTTTACAAAGCCATTAGTAAAATCATTAGTAAAGCTATTAGCAGTTGTGTTGGAGTTAGAAAATTACGTTGTATTTTAATCTAGCCATTGACAATTTAATTCATCTCATTAAAATTCATTCATTTTTGTCTTCAGATAGCGACTCAACTTGACTGACACAGGTCATCTGCAAATTTTTGTAAAATACCCAATGCCGGAACTGGGTTGATTCGCCAAATGTCGGAACCAGTGAGCGCTGGACGTCAGTCCTGTTCGCCAGTTTTATTGGTACCTAAATATTAATTTACGAAGGAGCAAAGTCTCTTACATCCTTTTTTGGCCGGCAAACCTTCCTTTCTGGTTGCTGCACGCAACTCCACATTGTACTGAGGCTCTCCCTGGACGATCATTGTTGCTGTTGGTGTGGTCCCACTTTTTATAATAAAACAGAAATCATAAATAATAAACTAATAAAAACTAAAAAAACTAAACTGCCATTGCTTTGGTAGCTTCACAACTTTCATAACAACTGTTTTCAAGTTCAGTGTGTCAAAGTCTTTTCCAATTCTATATTGTACCATCCTTTTCTGTGATACTGTAGTAGTCTTCTGGTGTTGCAATAATTGGGTATGTTTTCAGTTTTTTCTCTATTCTACCGAACAACGTATCGGGTGGCATGAAGGAGTGTACCGGTATTGGGAGAAGAGTTCTAAGAAAACGTTTCGTTGGGGGGGGGGAGCCTCTGAAACACGCCAGCTGAACTGCATGATCAATTTAGGACAAAGAAAATCATTCCTATTTACAAGTTCAGTCGTTGGAAGCTTGGAAAGAGATTTTGTGGAGTACCAATTTTTGTTTAATTTTTTTCTTCCAACTGACAGTATTTCTCATTTTTTGCGACCTCTTCCCTCAAGTCGAGTCAATCTTTACTGAATCAGACTTGCTTAATCCCGTTCTCAAAATTTGTAGACGGCTGCAGTGCTTTGTCCATTGTTCTTACAAAAAATGATGCATTAAAACGCAATTTATTGCGAAGGTTAATGATTAATCTCAATTCTTACACACATGAGAAATATTAAAGACGGAAATTAAGAAACTGAAAACAATTTACAACTTGCCTCAACAAATAGGGCAACTTTAAATAATGCTTCACAGATTTACTGGTCGTTGAAACCTTTTTTTGCTCGGCCGCCAACAGACTATACCGAGAGTTGCAGAAATGTGCTACGAGGAAAAATGGGGAAACTCGTCGTAGAGGTTGCGTCCAAACACTGGAAGATGTGGTGCTACAACAGCACATACTTTCATGCGTTACTTTTAAATTTACAATTTTCGCAAATTCAGAGGGTTCAACAAAAATTAAACCTACGCCATTCTTTTAAGAGCCCCTTGTTCAATTAGGGAAAAAATTGAAGAACAAATTTCGACGGTTTTTTAAAATTTCCTCTCCATAAATTGCATGAATTATTCGAAACTACATCTTTTTTGAACAAAATGTACATGACCTTTTTTAAAGAGCTGCTTTTTAAAACGGATTTTAACGAAAAAATCATCATCTGCAAATTTGAAGTATTAACTATTTACAATTTTCGAAAATGCGGAGAGTTCGCTGGAAATGAGAGTAGCACCAATATTGTCACACTTTGATTCACACGAGGAGAAAACTTAAAGAAAAAAATAGAGCCGTTTTTGAGGAAAAAAATGTTAACTGAAATTAAAAAATAGCCCACATTTCACACAATATTACATGAAAACTGCTCCTATTTTCAGAAAATTGTACATGACCTTATTTCAATTTGTCATGAAAGAACAGATTTCATTCACGAAAATAATTCTATCTGCCATGTTGTAGTAGTAGGAAGACATCGAAAAAAGTTCTGCTTTGAAATTTCTGAAAAATCAGGAGTTTTAACGAAAATGAGACTTGTATATTTCCTTCAAGCTTCTTTAAATCGATCGGGGGGGATATCAGTTTCGAAGAAAATTGACAGAACGGTTTAGGTACTAGCATTGACCACAGACAGACGGACGCACGTTTTATCGTCAATCGATTTTTCGGTAATAAGAACCCACCAAACAAGGAATCCGGCTATACAATGTATTGAAGGAAATAATTCACACTATACAGGAATAAGATGTATGTACTTTTTCGTTACTAGGGTCTGGCGATAAGAGATTTTCTTCGAAAATTCGCCGATTTCGACGCATGATTGCAATACTTTTCTTACGCAGAGCGAGGAAGTAAAAGGTAATTCGATGACTCGAAATGTATTTATGTGCCACAAGACCCTGAAGATGAGGGTCAGGCCGACAGAGCTAACTTCGAGATCAGCTGCGAGTCCTATTGGTGGTTTTATTGAATACTCTTCGATAATTTTAATCTGTGAAATCCTAATTTTATCACAATGATAGTAAATCCTCTCTACAACGAGGTAGAATTACCTAAAGAGAAATACATTATTGTACTATATTTAAATCATTACTTATTTAACGAAAACAAACCGATAAAAACTAGGTATTCGATTCTCAAAATAATTTTAGTTCCACTTGTGTTGGGTTTTGAAAAATTGTTAGTATTGAATTGAATTTGCCTTATTTTACGTGGCGAGACTCGGGCCATCCGGCGCGCTCTTCCGTCTGACCACGCAAATTTCACTACGCTCCTTTCACCAACTAGCGGAGAATTCGTGGGCGACGAAACATGTGAATTTAGCTCAGAGGCGTCATTTAGGCTTGAGGATCTTTTACATGCAAGTAAATCTACTAACATGGGACAGCCGGCTTTACTTCCCCTCCGAAGGAAGGCGTACGAAGGATTTTTTCGCCTTCGGCGGCTTCCACAGCATCCACGTCTTCGATGGGGTTTGATCCCGCGAACTTTGGCACAGCAGTCCGGTAGCAGTCCATCGCCGCCGCACCATCGTTAGTATGGTAGCCCTTTAACTAACGCTGCTCTATCTCATAACTTTACTCAGTTCCTAATCGGTGTTTTGTGTTCACCTCCGGCAGCAAGCCTAAATGTTGGTTGACAAACGAAACTGTCGAAATGTAAGGAAACGCGCTCGCCGTACGATCATTCGCTTGCGAGGAGGTGAACCACGATGCAGTCACATCCTTGCACCATGAGGCGAAGGAGAAACTTTTCAGTGCGTGGGAGTCGATAAGCTGCCTTGCTTCCGCATTTCTCGGTGCATTTTCCTTAACGCAATTCTCGGTGTAGTCTGTTGCTGGCTTAGTACTTTGATAATCAGGCTGTAGGGAACAGACGCATCCGTTGCGCTCGCCGTGTAGCGCGAGAGCCTTCACCTGGAACACGCTGAGCAAGAGGCAGCCGTAGAGGGCGGTAGCCCAGCTGAGCGCCCTGCGCAGGCGCGAGCGGCGACGCGGGCGGCCGAGGGCGAAGGCGCCCGTCAGGAACGCTGCGTACGTCCTGAAGAGCGCGGGCGCGGGCCGCTCGCCCGCCGCCAGCCGCGCCGCCCACAGCGCCGCCAGCGCCGCGCCCGCCGCCGCCCACACGTCGCCCGAGAACGCCCCGCGCGCACGCTCCAGGAACGGCACCGCCCGCGACTTGCGCACGTACCTAAGGGCGACACGCGCTGCAAGCTACGTTTACAAGAACAGATGGACAAGGGTCGTTCCGAAAGTAATGCCTCCCAAGGGCTGTCTTACAAGGGAATGCCGCCGTGTGACATGTCGAAACCTGTCCTAATCCTTCTTTTCATCGGAAGCACATGCCGTTTTAATCTCACGATCAAACTTGTGGGTGCTGATACACACTGCAAGTCAATTACAAAACATCCTGAATTTGTAAATTGGTCATATGCTTTCACCAATGTAAAAATGGTCAACCCTGCAAAGCAGGTGTTACCCAGCGCGCTCGCTTGTGATTCAGCACCACTGCTCGCCGCAAGCGGCAGACTGCTTCCAAGGTCGTTTCCTGCGAGGGGCAGGCGGGGAGGTCCCTGCCCCTCCTAGCAGCTAAAATAATAATATAACTAATAACACTAATATTAACTATACATAGTCTAAACTACTAATGCAAGTTTGTCACGATACACCTTGCCGCAAGCGCTTATCTTCCCATTCAACATGAGCTACCTCCTTGGTGTTCATTCCTCACAAAGTTGAGAGCTCTGGCCTGCAACAAGTCAGTTGTGTAATCACACGAGGAGGTCGGGGCAAACTGGAAAAGAGCGGTCTTTCGGAACTTTCGAATGAGAAAACTGATTTATCGACACAAAGAGGCTCAAATTAAAAAACGGTAATTTTCGCGAACAAAAAACCAAAATGAGGTCATGACAAGTGAATTTTATTCACAAAACAACTCTTAAATCTCTTCGTACATAATTTAAATATAAAATGATACAGTAATATTATACGTTTTCAATATTTAATAATTATGCATATTGACGATATTCGTAATGAAAAAGTAACAAACTTTCATTGGAAAGGAAATAAAATATCTTATATATCTATAATATAAAAATGAATCGCAAAATGTGTTGGTAAGCGCATAACTCAACAACG